TGAGAACCTGTGTGGGCCTCCTAGTCCCGGCCCCCTGCAGGGCCTGGGGACAGTGTCTTGGAGCCTGGTCTGAGTCCTGAGGGGCATGAGAGGTGCTCCTGGCAGAGGGCAAGGTGGGAATTAACTAAGGCACGGTGGAGGCAGAGCTCAGGCTAAGACGGGGAGGAGGACGGGGGAGCTGACACTGGGACTGGGACGACCTGAGGCCAGCAGCGACTCGGGCTTCTCCTGGGCGGGGAGCTGGGGGACGGCGGGGCGGCATCAGGTCTGCTCTGCAGCCCAAAGGCGCATCTGGTGCTGAGGGCTGAAGGCGGAAGGCACAGGGCCGTGTGGCCACAGTCCCCATGACCGTCAAGCTTCACAGCCCTCCTGGCTTCCAGCCAGGGCCTGGCCCCGGAGGGCAGGCTCCAGGGGGAGGGTGGAACGAGTAAGAAAAGTCGGGTCTGGCACAGCTGGTGGCGGAGATGGGCCCAGGGGGCTGTGCGGATGCTCCAGGTTCTCTCTGGTCTCTAAGACCCGACTAGAGACAATCCCAGCGTCAAAGAGGCCTGGGGATGGCACCCAGCATGGCCTGGCCATCTTTCGGGCACATCCTTCTGCTGGCCCACCGGTCCCAGTTTCCCGTCAACTCGGCCGCAGCAAGTGGGTGTGGATCCTGTTTCCTTTTTCTCCTTTGTTGCCAGGCAGCTCAGGGTACCTTTTGTGCTCAGCCAGAAGAGCGAACGCCTTTAAACCAGGCTTCCCGGGCCAGCACTCTTCCTCCACCCTGCATGGAGAGTCCCTATCTCGACATAATGACCCCACTGTCCCCGTGGCTCTTACTGGGAGCAGCCACAAAGCCCTTTGGCAGGAAAGAAACACATTTTTAGTCCCCAGGGCGTTCTTTTGGCCCAGGGTTGGCAGTCCAGTCTGCTCCCCAGGCAGCTCTCAGAGGCACGCAGTGCAGTGCAGTCCCAGGCCCTGCCTTGCCCTGGTTGAGCCAGCAAAAGACGTGCAGGGCCCCTCGCCCTCCTTCCCCATCCCGCCAGCTGCATGTGATGCTCTTACAGGCCAGCTGGTCAAACGGAGGCTGACCACCAGGCGAGCAGGGGGCCTGATTTCCCCGGGGCCCTCACACCAGATCCAGAGCAAGACTCGGGGGCCTCAGGGTGGAGACCCTCACCTGGGTCTTTCCTTCTCTCCAACTTCTCGGCTCCCACCCTCCTACCCTGTGAGCCCCACCCACGTCCACGTGGAAGCCTGCTCGCAAGCATCCGTGATCAGGGAGAGCCGTGGCTGGCACGTGGCCAGGAGCCTGTGACGGTCCACGTGGGGCTGTGGAGCCCTCAGGGGGGCCGGCACCCTCGGCCTCGCTGCCTCCTACCTTCCCCTGGCATATGGGGGCTGATGGGGGCTGATGGGGGCTGATGGGGGCTGACAGCCACGGGGCTGGGCAGGGTTTGGCTCCTCAAAGGGCGGCAGCTGTGCCACCAGACTCGAGACAGGCTGCCGCACCGACTGTTTTGATCGGAGGCTGAGCTGGAATATTTGAGCCCGGCCGACGGATGTGATATAAAAACACAGCGGCTGCCAGCGGAGCTGGGGAGACGCTTCCTCGCCAGCAGTGCCACCACCAGTGCTTCTCCCACTGCCACCGCCCCACCCCCCGCGCCCCCCGGAGCTGAGCCCGGGGCAGGACTTGAGGACTGGAGCGGCTTTCCCCGGGTAGTCACAACCCTGCCTGCTCCCAGGCATTTTTTTGAATCCATACTGCGCCGTGACGGAATATTCTGGATGACTCCTCCTCCTTTCCTACCGACTCAGCAGCTGAACTGGAATTCAGAAAGCAACTTAAACAAATGCACATCCATGTCCACCTTGTAAAAAGCACATCAGCGGTGGGCTTGGGCCCGCTCAGTCTGCCCACTCGGGGTCCGCCTCCCGGGATCTTTCTGTAGGTGCATTTTATTTTATTTTTATTTTGCCTGGAATCTCCTGAGCCGGAGGGGAAGCCTCAGGCAGGAGGCAGCTGTGGCCGAGCTTCTCCAGGGCGAGGCTAGAGGGTGCCATGTTCCCAGGCCGCTGGAGTGGGGGTCTCGGGGCTCAGGCTGGAGGGGCTGCACCCTCCGGGCTCGTGGGGTGCTCTTCCTCTCACACCGCTGGTCCTGGGCCAGACAGCCAGCTCGGGGCCTCAGTTTCCTCAGCCACAGGCTGGGCTGGCGATGAGCGTCATGGAGCAGACAGGAGAGGGCTGCTCGTGGACGGGCAGGCGGTGGTGGACAGACCTGCTGCCCCAGCAATGGACGGGTGGACAGAGGCTGGGTCCCTGCTCTGTACGGCAGAGGAATCCCCCTGAAGGATGGCTCCCAGTTACGGCGGGCGCAGTCAGTGCTCAGGGGCGCCAGGGGTGGGCGTGGGGGGCTGTCAGCATCCCCACCGCTTCTTGCTGACAGCCAGACTCGAGCTCTGCGACTGGCCCGCTTCCCTGCGGCGGAGCAGGGTGGGAAGCCAGGTCTGTCTGCTCATCCAGCTGAAAAGAAAGTCCTCCCGGCGGCAATTAGGATGGAGTGGGGAACATCTGCTGGCTGAATGGGGGATTAGGCACCGGCTGCCAGCAGCCCCAGCGACAGCCTGATTCCTGCGATTAGGGAGGAAAGGAGGTGTGTGGACATGCCCCCGTGGCAGACCCAGCGTTCACCTCCAAGAGCCTGGGTGCTTCTCTGCCCCACTGCCCCCGGTAGGCCCTGCAGCTCAGAGGCAATGCCTGTGTCAGCTGTGCTCTCGAGAGAAGTGGCCCCTCCCGGGACCCCAGTTCGGCTGGCATGTTGGACCATAGATGGGCAGGCTGGGCAGCTTCAAGCAATGCCCCCTCACTTCACAGGAGGGGTACTGAGGCCCAGAAAGGGCAAGGGTTTGCTGAGCTAGCAAGGGTTGGCTGAGCGGACCCCCCACCAGGCCCCACCCAGTGGAAAGTAAGGGATGCTCCAATTGGCCTTATGGGCCATTTCCACCCCACCCATCCCCTGGGTCTGGGCTTCATCGCCTGTCCCGGAGCCCAAACACAGCAGGTGGGTGGGTGCCAGTGTGAGTTAGTGTAGACACAGTTGGCGCATCCTGAGGACCCATAACTTGGGGTGGTGAGGCTGGGAATCTGCAGGGGGGTGGGGGTTCTCCAAGGCACCCTGGCACATGGACCCGGAAAGGGGCTTGCCCTGGCTCATGATTCAGGGGCCAGGGGCTTGAGGGTGAAAGGAAGGTCCCGGGGCTGACCCCTCCCCGGTACAGGCCCATGGCCAGCTCAAAATGGGTGGTGACCCAAGAGAGAGCTGAGCTGGCAGGCAGGGCATGGTAGGGGAGGGGCACATAAGAAAGGCCTGGGGCACCTGGGGCAAGAGGATGGGAAGGTCAATAGCAGGGTTCCGCAGCGTGAGCCCCTCAGTGCGTATGTGCATTGTTTCGGGGGACCTCCCCCTCTAGTGCCAAGCCCTGCTCTTGCCCCCCACCCCAGCTCTCCCAGTTCCAGGCTCTATGACAGGGACCAGTAGAGCCGGGGGGGGGGCGCGACCCCTCCAATACTTTGCTCTCTCTCCTTCTAGCCGCCCTCCTCAAGCCTCAGTGTGGGGTGAGCACAGACACGGGGGCAGGGGTGGGGATATGAGGGTGAACAAGGGGGCGAGGCTGGGCTGCCCCGGGGGGAAGCCAACTCAAATGCAGGGTGTGGGAGGAGGGACAAGCAGGCTCCAGCCCCTCCCCGGCAAAGCAGGCCTTCCCCACCCCCGTGGCTTTTGGGCCTCCATGTTCAAAACAGTAAGAATGGGCAAAGGCCTCTGGTCTGGAACAAGGGGCTGGAGTCCTGCCTTGGCCTCAACCCCACCCCAGACCCGCTTCTGGGCAGCGCTCAGTGCAACCTGCGTTCTCCAAGGTGCCAGGCCGCAAAGTGCTCGGAGGTGGGGCTGGTCCTCAGCTACGGGCAGAACTTCAGCCTCGGACTCGAGAGCCCCACCTGCTTCCATGGGGAGGGGCTGCCAGGCCAGGGAAGGACTGGAATAGAGATGAAAAGAGGACAGTCTTCCAGGATCTAAATTTGGAGTCAATTTGGGGGTTCTCTTGGCCAGTCACAGCACAAGAATTTTTAGTATCTTAAAGGTATGTAAAACATTTGATTTAAAGAAAAAAGAAAGACACCCCTCCCTTCTCATGCAAGGAGGAAGGTTGGACTGTGGTGACCTGGAGTGTCCCTTCTTCACCGTGGGGGGGGAGGAGTGCGCTAGGCAGGACCAGGGTCTGCAGATTACCCCAACCGTGGCTTAAGGACTGACTGCTGCACCCAACACTTACATTACAAAGGTTTATTTAGAAAATAGTTTGGTTGTTTGGGCTGTCGTTTTTTGGCAAACATTGAAACACTTTCAGTAACCAAAGATTGTCAGCGCCCTCTTTCCTCCCCCCAGGCAGCCGCCCCACTAGGTCCTGGGGAAGTCAGCCCTTACTCAGAGGTGGGTCCT